GGGGGGGGGAGGGCCGTCACGCCGGGAGACGCCGCCACAGCAGCTCGCCGGCGGGGCCCCTGTGGCTATAAAAACATCCCCCGCTCTCCCGATCACCAGAACTTCTTTACCACACTTTTCTTCGAACTCCTGGTACATCCCCCCTTAAAACCACACATGCACACGCCTGGACAGAGGAAGCATCGCCTCTCCCTCTCACGCCCCCCCCCCCCCCCGCCTGGCCACATACCTCTCTGCCTCACTAACGCCACACGTCCCCGTCCGCGATCGCGGCCAAACGCCACAGCAAACTACCCCGCTGGTTCGGTCAAAGTCCCCTAAGAAAAAATGTCTCGCTCCTCTGTCTCTCTCCTCCGCAAGCTGGTCGTGGCCCTTGTCCTGGTCCTCGGTGCGTGCCGCGCGCTGTTTGCCCCCGCCCCGTGGCGCACTTGGCTCCTGTGTCGCAACATTGGCCACTGCCCCCCTCCCCCCCCCCCTCCATGTCCCAAGCATGATGCTGCCTGCCCCTGGCAGGGGGGGGCCGCCCTGTGACCGAAGACTAACATGCTCTCGTCTCTTGCACCACCTCCCCCTCCCCCCTGCGCCTCCGGCTTCCGGCCTCCGCGCACAGCCATCGTTGCCTCGGCCAACGCCAAGAAGTCCAACCCCAAGGGCTGCTCCAAGCGCTCTCGCGATCGCCGCCAGGACTTCCTCCGGGACCGCTGTGTCTCCCTCGCCCAGCAGTGCGACGAGGACTGCTTCCGCGGCCTGTACGACATGATGAACTGCAACGTCGTCGGCACTCAGACCTCCAGCAACACCTGTCTCGAGGGCATGACCCGCCTGCAGACCAACTGCCAGCAGTTCAACTCGGCCAGCTTCGGTGCCACCGTCACTCTCGGCAGCGGCAACTACCTCTGCAACAGTGCCTCCTCCAACGGCTTCAGCATGGCTGCCATGTCGGTGGCCGCCGCCGCCGCCGCCTTCGGCGCTGCCCTCCTGTAAGTGGCTCGAGTGCGCGCGCACGCACACACGCGTTTTCGGTGCGGGGGACGAGAATGTCCGCATAGAAGCGCGCATGTGTGCATCCACGCACATACATGTGCACACGCTCTCCGGGCCCGAAGGGGGACCGGGGGGGCCGTGTCGGTAACCTCCTCTCCCACGTGCACCAGGCCAAAAGCCGCCTGCCGAGCTCTCGGGGAGTGGGGGGCAGTTTCCCCCCTCCCCTGGCCAATCGGCGGCCTCTTGAACTTGCGCGACGTGGCTGCCGACGTTGCCGGCACGGCTCCCGCCGCCCCCCTCCCCCCTCCGGGAGAGACCCGGGAGATGTGGCGTCTGTGGCTGAGCATATGACATAGAGAGAGTGAGAGTGAGGGCGAGGGCGAGAAAATGCTCTTCCCCATGCCCCAGCGGCAAGGCAAGTGATAGAGAGGGTGCCTGTGTGATTGTAGACTCTTCAGAGTTGGAATTCGTTGGACGATCTGGCTCCGCATCGAAGAGCCGGACACGGCGCCCTCCCCCCCCCCCCTCTCCCCCTCCTCGCTCCCGGCTCTGGCCACACTCTCTCCGCCCTATATGGGGTATATCCGAGCGAGCGAGAGAAGTGCACATTGTCTTCTCCATGAACCTGGTGTCAGAAAAAAATAAATGTGACGACCTGACTTTGCCTCAAATGTGTGCCCCTCAATTCAGGGCCGGTAGGACTCGCTCGGGGGGAGGGGGGCCACTCATGCATGCACGAGAACATGCACGCACACACACACACACACACACCAGGCGGATAGAGCAAAGAAGAAACGGCAGGCGGAGGCCCGTGGCATAGGGCACAACAGCCTGTCCCAGCTACATGCACTGCTGTGGTGTGGGGGGAAGGGGAGGGGAGGGGGAGGGGGCAGCATTATGGGGAAAGGGCGGGAGAGGAGAAGGAACGACACGGAGCGCAAAAGAGAGGGACAGTGATGAAACAAGGCGGGGGGAGGGGAAGGGAGATCTATTTGGAAGGGGGGAAGTTGTGAGAATGTCCCGTGGAGAAGAAGCCCTTTTGAGCACATTAGCGAAGGGCATATTCGCGCATCGGCGCACGGACATGCCAATGGAGACGAGGAGGCAGAGAAAAGGGAGACACACACAAGCACGGGAGGAGAAACTGATGGGCACGGAGGATGGCCGATCATGGTAGGCATCAGCCGCCATGCCAGCAGAGGCTTGCGCTCTCACTGAGTGGTCCCCGAGGGGGCATCCTCACAGTGGGGAACCTTGCGCGCGGGGGCACCGGCGGCCTCCTCGCCGAGAGACATGGCCGGCTCATCAGGCACCGTCGCCAGGGGGGCAGCTTCGTCGCTGGCAGCTGAGGCATTTGCCTGGGCCTCCGACGGGCAGGGGCGCTTCTTAGGCGGCCGGGCCGGCTTGTTCGGACCGTACATGTGCCTGTCGGTCAGGCGCCCAGCCAGCGCCGTGTCCTGGTGGATGGTCAGTGTCCGCAGCAGATGCCGCATGACTCGGTCTCCGGGAGTATTGGGGATGCCGCCGGCCGCCGCGGCCGTCGTGCTGTCGCTCTCGGTGGCCGGATCGCACTCCAGATGATTAATCAACTGGCGGGCCATGGCTGCGAAGGCCTCGATCGTGGAAATCCGGTCACTTTGCGTTTGCTGGGGGCATGGTCGGTGAGAAGAGCAGGCCCGGTGTCGGGGGAAATAAAGGCAAAGGGGAGAGAGGAAGGGAGGGAGGGAGGGAGGGAGAAAAGAGGGAGAAAAGAGGGAGAAAAGAGGGAGAAAAGAGGGAGAAAAGAGGGAGAAAAGAGGGAGAAAAGAGGGAGAAAGAGGGAGAAAAGAGAAGACGCACCGAGCGCAGGACAAAGAGGGACGGCGAGTCCGGGCTGATGTGCACTCGGGGGATCCACAGGGGCAGATGGCGTTGAATGGTCTTGGCCTGGATGGACACATTCGAAGGACCGGAGAGTCGGCAGTGGGATTTCAGTCAGTCAGTCGAGAGACGCCCGGGAGACCCAGCGAGAAAAGGAAGAAGAAGGAATGGATGGATGGATGGATGGACAGGAGGAGCACGCACCTGCCCCCATGTCCCGTCAATGACGATGATGAAATAGCCCCGAACCGGGCCGGTCACCGGCACTGGGACGTCGGCCTCCGGCCATGACCAACGATCCAGGATGGCCGCATCAGCACAGTGCTCGAAACTCTGGTACTCCCCCAGGCCGCGGAGGATGCGGTTGATGGCCGGCTCCCCGGGGACGCCGCCGGCCTCATCGGCCTCGCCACCATCGTCGAAGCCTGCCGACACGAAGGCCAGCTCAGTGGGATCCGACAGGGGCAGCGGCTGGGCCGTGACCGGGTGCGCCGCAAGGAAATCTTCCAGCTGCATCACACCCAATGGATTTCAGGGGAGGCCAGGAGGTGGTGAGAGAAGGAACGGAGAGGGGAGCAGAGCAGAGCAGAGCAGAGCAAAGCAAAGCAGAGCGGATCGGAGTGGAGGGGGTGGGAGCGAAGTCGCACTGGCTGGGAATCCGGCGTCGGGAAAAGGATGAACGGCTGTCGACCGGCCCGAAGGGCGGCCATCGTCGCACGGTAGATGCGCCGCTCCGAAGGGGAAACCGCATGACAGGCCACAAGCGCCCCAGGGCACAGGTTGGCAATGATCTTGCCGGTGTTCGAGGAGCGCGACCACTCTACACGATGTGTCAGGTTCAGGTTGGCCAATCGGGACGGGGAAGAGGGGGGAGAGAGAGAGAGAGAGAGGGGGGGAGACGAGGGGAGCACCGGGCAGAGTCAACAGAGGGAATGGAGGAGGAAGATGTGAGGGGAGTGACACGAGGCGAAGCCATGAGCCAACAGATGATCGCACCCTTGGAGTGCATGTACAACGCGATGCGGTGCTTGCCGTCGCCCTGCGGACCAACACCCAGCTGCGAAATGGCCGGGCCGATGGACGCGCAATTGCATGCCCCATTGGCCGGGGCCCGAAGAACCGGCCCGGTAGTCTGCTCCGGCAGGCCACGACGCTCTTCCGATCTTCGCACCCTTGGAGTGCATGTACAACGCGATGCGGTGCTTGCCGTCGCCCTGCGGACCAACACCCAGCTGCGAAATGGCCGGGCCGATGGACGCGCAATTGCATGCCCCATTGGCCGGGGCCCGAAGAACCGGCCCGGTAGTCTGCTCCGGCAGGCCGGGCCGCGGGAACGGCTGGTACAGCGGGATCTTGGTCAGGGGGTCCGTCCACTGGACCGAAGGGTCCGAACCGGGGGGCCGGTAGGACCCAGGCTCATCGGTACTGCACTGTGTCGGCCATAGGCAAGCCGCACACCGGCCATGGCGCTTCATCAGGGTCGTCAGGAGGCTGCTGCGCGCATGCGCGGCTTCCCGATCGGCAGGCGTGTAGCTGGCCATCTGCTCGTAGGTGATGATGGGAGGCCGCCGCCGGGGGCGCCCCAAACGGTCGACACCATATGGAGCCACCAGGGGGTCAACATTTTCGGAGGGCGGCGTGGCACTCCCAGGCGCCGGGGAGGCTGGCTGGTCGGTGGTAACCGGCTCGGTGGCGCCGGCGTCGGTGCCGGTGCCTGCAGCAGCAGCAGCAGCAGCAGCAGCAGCAACGGTGGTAGCAGAGGGTGACGACGACATGGCGGCGGCAGCGGCGCGGCGGTGGTGCAGCTGCTGTGGCGCAAGAGGGTTCCGGAGGGAGATGTTCCTCCAGATACGCATGGGACCGCGAGGACCGCGCAACAAAGGGTGGGGGAGGAGGGAAACAGGAGGGAGCTAGGTCGGCCTGCCGCAACGAAGCCCGCCCCGGATCGCCGCCTTTTCTCTGGCGTGCTTGGTGCCGAAGAGCACATGGCGCGCGCATGTCCCCCCCCCCCCCTACCCAGTCGGCAGGCAGCCCACAGGGGCGTGACAACGCCGTGAGCAACTGCCGCCGCACCGGCCCTGATCGGCGCCATTCCCACACTAACACGTACACTGGCGTGCAGGCCGGGGCCCGACGAGGCAGCCCCGTCCCGGCGTGTGGTCCTTTTTAGGCCGGCCTCCTGCTTGGCCGGGCGAGGCGCCGGGACCGCCTTGGCTTGTCCAGTCCCCCCCCCCGCTCTCTCTCTCCCCCCCCCCCATCCCTCTGCCCGGCACCCCTTCCCCCTTGACTTCCTGGTCTTTCATTTTCCCCCTCACCCTGGCCCTCGTCCTGAGATCCCCGAACACCACAAGCAAACCCCGCACAACAGATGGACCCCGCCGCTCCTGCCACCCCCGGCGCCTCCGGGGCCGGCTCCGCCCCGGCCAGCACTCCCGGCACCGCGTCCTACCACTCGGTGTCCACCAGCGAGAGCCTGGCCCAGAGCACGATGCTCACCCGGGCGGCCGAGCGTCTGGCTGAGCGCACCTCGCGCGAGGTCTTCACCCTCGGGCCTCGGCAAGAAGTCCGCTTCGAGGTGGCTCCGCGCACCCTGCTGGCCATCCGCCTGTTGGAAGGCACGGCCGAGATCAGCGGCGTGGAGCTTCTGACAGGCGGGTCGGTTCCTCCGCTGGGCAGTGCCTCGATCAGCGGCGTCTGGGATGGCAACTCCTATGTCTTCCCGGCCGGCGTGTCCAGCGCCGTCTTCTCCTGGACCGGGGCCCGGGTGCTGTTGGAGACCGTGTCCGTTGGCTCGGCCGAGCCGAATGCCCTGCTCGAGTCGGCCATGTCCAGCTTCCAGGCCGGCGGCGGGGCTGGCGCCACGTCGGACGCCGCGCCGGCCACCCCGGCCAGCACCGCGGCGGCGGCTCGCCCTGCCAAGCCTCGCCTCGATGCCTACCTTTCGGATGATGTGCACTTTGCCCTGAGCGCGATGAACCTTTTCGTGGCACTGGCACAGGAGCACGCGCGCACGCGCTCCACCGGCTCGACCGACCCCCCGCGCGTGGTTATCCTGGGCCCGGCGGACTCCGGCAAGACGGCCCTCGCCCTGACTTTGTGCAATTACGGCTCACGGCGAAGCCTATCCGGCGCGGATCTCGGCCCGGACAGCGCGGCCACCGGACAGCCACAGTCCTCCGCCAATGTGGCCGTCACATCGACCCCCCTGCTGGTGGACCTGGACCTGGAGCTGAATACGCTGACGGTGCCCGGGGCCATTGCCGCCATGCCGGTCGAGCGGCCCTTCATCCCCTCCTGCCTGGCCCCCTCGTCGGCGGCCCTCGGGCAGATGGCCGGCGCCTCGCTCAGCTACTATTTCGGCCATACCACCCCTTCGGCACACCCGCCCACCTATCGACGCCTGGTGGACAATTTGGCTGGGCGCGTGCGTGCACGCACTCAGGCCGGCATGGCCAACATGGTTGTGATCAACACCATGGGAGCCGTACAGCCGGCCGCCGCCGCCGGCACTGGTCCCTCCGCCGTGGCCGCCGCCGCCGAGGCCTACTATGCGGAGCAGCTGAACATCGTTCGCTCGTTCGACGGTGCGTCCGACTGTCACCTGGCCCGGGCCATCATCTACCCGGATGGACTGCCACGCACAATCACCCCTGCGGCGAGCTGATGGCCAGCGCATTCGCGCATGTGTTGGCTCAGCCTGTCTATCCCTCCGTGTCCATGACCCGCACGTGTGTGTATGTGTGTGTCTTGCATTGCCTGACCTCTTATCCCTCTACCCCCCCCCCCCTTCCCCTCCTTGTCTCCTGGATCGAATTGCCTCCCGCTCCCCTCCCCTCCTGCTGCCCTGCCCCCTAGCCACTGTGGTCGTGGTTGTTGGCGATGAGCGCCTGTACAATCGGCTGCAACGCGATCTGGTGTCCTCGGCCGGCTCGTCTGCCTCGGTGCCGAGCATCGTTCGTCTGCCACGCAGTGCGGGTGCCATCGCCAGGTCCCCGGCCGCCCGGCGCATCTTGCAAAATGCCGTCATCGCGCGGTATTTCCTGGGCGATGAGCGTAGCTCTTCCCTTGGTGCCGGGTCTGGCACCGGGGCCGGGGCCGGACGCGGTGGCAATACTGTCGAGCTGGACTCCCTGCCGCGGTCGTATGGCATGCGCCATGCATATGTGCCCTTCGATAATATTCGTGTTTTTAAGATCGGCCTTTGTACGTCCTCGTGTGCTGCTAATGGCATGATTTGCTGCACACCATGCCTGCCGTGGTGAAGGAAGCTGACCTTCGGCCGATGGACACGTCTCTTTGCCTGCCAGCGCACACGGCCCCGAGCTCCGCGCTCCCTCTTCACATGCTGGCCGCGGCCACCGGGGCCGGTGGCGCTCCCTCCTCGCCGGGTGGTGCCCCGGCCTCCCAAGCCACGGCTGCGGCTCCCGGCACCCCGGGCGGTGCCGGTGTCTCCCCCATTCCCCCGACCATGACTCGGCCGGTTTTGCAATTGGACAAGGCACGCGATTTGACCCAGGCCATTTTGGGTGTCTCCTTTGTCGGGCTGCCTGGGCAGCGGACGCTCTTGGGGGCGACCATTCCACCTGCCGGTGTGGCCGCCCCGCCGGTCGACCCGCAGGCGGTGGCCGATCAGCCTGGCTGGGACTCCGACGGCCGGCCGATCATCACTGAAGCCGATCTGCTTGACACTCCGGCCATGGGCTTTGTCCATGTGTGCGTCTCCGTGCCCCCCCCCCCCTGTCGGTGCCTTTTGACTGCTGCCCCATCCTTTGAGGAATGTGGCGCAAAAAAATACCGCCCCTCTCTTGCTCCTTCTCTCTCTCTTTCTCTTTCTCTCTCCTCGCCCCCTCCCCCCTCTCGGATGGATGTGGCCGCCGAATCACTGACACAGCAAGCTGCACCCATTGAACGAATAACCGGCGTGTGGCCTCCCCTCAGCACCGACATTGACACCGATCGGAATATGGTTCTCATGAACATGCCTTCCTTTGAGCGTCTCCCAAGCGGCGTCCTCCTGCAGGGGACCATTGAGTGGTTCGACTGATGCGAAGAGCCCACAGGGCAGGCAGCTTCGGCGGCCCACGATGCGGGGTCCAAGCCTGTCGGTCGGTGTGCAGCCAAATATTCAATAAAGAGCGTTACTAGCCCAATCAAACACATGAGAGCATGTGGCGTGTGTGTGTGTGTGTGTGTGTGTGTGTGTGTGTGTGTGCGTGTGTGTGTGTGTGTGTATGTTACGCGTATATTGGAGCAGGAGGAGTTGACGGCCACAACCGGGGGATGGACAGCAATGTAGGCATGCTGCTCACCCATCCCGGCGCATGAATGGCGGGATGACTCCCTTGTCGCCGAACAGGGGCGTGGCCGTGCCCTGCTCGACCTTCTTGCGGAAATCCTCCAGCTGCTGCTGCTCAACACGCGCGCGCTACAGAGCCAGGACGAGAAGCGAAGGTCAGTCACATGCAGGGAGTCGGCGGGGGGTGTGAATCGCATGCGACACCAAACGCACCCGGTGTTCCCAGTAGGTGGAGTGCTGCACGGCGCTGAAGCCGACGTTGAGGAGCACCGAGAAGGCGATGGCCACCGGGACCATCTGGAACATGAACCATGTCCGACGGATCAACATGGTGGGCTGGGGTGGTGAAAAAGGCCAAACGAGGGCGGGGGGGGGGGCAGAGAAGAAAAGCACTCGGGGCAGGGAACTGTGGTCGGGGGGAGGCGGAAGCCGGTTGGCAATCGGAACAGCACGGCCGCGGGGGGGAAACACGGGTGGGTCCCTTTAATCGGGCCGTGCAGGGGGGGGGCGATGCGCCGGCACCTCGATCATCTGGGGCGTGACCTCTTGTCACGTTTTCTCCGGACGTTTCGATTTCAAACTTGCCCCGCCGACCTGGCATCGCCTGGCAAGCGGGTGGATCGGGGGGCGCGAGGGGCAACGCGCCCACCGCTGATTGAAGACGGAGCGCCACCCGCCGCCCCCGGGCGCCTGCGCGTGCATCCAAACTCCTGCCTCCCCCTCTCTCGAGTTCCACCCCGCCGCCCTTTCCTCCCTCCTGCATTCTTTCTGTCCGCCCTTTTCCCTTGGTCCCTTTTCTGCGTCCCTATCCCTGATGTCGGCCGCGATGATGAACCCTTTCGCTGCCAGCGCTGGCGCATCCGACGCGACCAGTGGCGTGTTCGAGCTTGAGAAGCCCTGGTATGTCTTCGAGAGGGCGCTTCCCGTGTGGGCCTTCCTGCTTTCTCCGCTCTTTGTGCACACGCGCATACAGGCATGCACACATGTCTGCCTTTCCATCGCCCGGCAACGTCTCTCCCCCCTATGTGGTGGTCCTAACTTGCATGATGTGATAGGCTTGAGAAGTATCGCCCGCAGACCCTGGATGATGTGGTTGGCAACAATGATATCATTGACCGCCTGCGTGTCATCGCCCGTGATGGCAACATGCCTCACCTTCTAGTCACCGTGCGCCTTGACTCCCCCATGTGGTCCCTCGCTGTTCGGCATGCTTCCACGCACATGCATGTGCCGCCTGCTGACCCTTTTTTTTTTGTCGTGCACCGTACCAGGGACCTCCCGGCACTGGTAAGACGACTTGCGTTCTGGCCCTGGCCAAGACTCTCCTTGGAGACTCATTTAAGGATGCTGTGCTGGAGCTCAATGCTTCGGATGACCGGTGCGCCCTTCGCCCGAGCCAATTACGCGCGCACGCGCGCACGCACGCGTGCATGCATGCATACATGCACATATATATATATATACATATACACACGCATGATGGCGTCTCGTGGAAGCACGGGCGTGTACTGACTTTGCACCTGCAGCGGTATCGACGTTGTGCGCAACAAAATCCGTACCTTCGCCCAGCGCCGAGTCACCCTCCCTCCGGGGCGCCATAAGATCATCATCCTGGATGAGGCGGACAGCATGACCCCCGGCGCGCAGCAGGCCCTGCGGCGGATTATGGAGAAGTTTGCCTCCACCACGCGCTTTGCCTTGGCGTGTAACATCTCGTCGCGCATCATCGAGCCCATCCAGAGTCGATGCGCCATCTTGCGCTTCAACCGCCTGACCGATGCTCAGATGCTGGCACGCATGATGGTTGTCGTGGGCGAGGAGAAGGTGCGCCTCGTGCCCTCGGCCACGTCTCCTCCCACCTTCCTTCCTGTCTCTCCCTCTTGCCCACCTCGTACTTTGGCTTCTCCTTTTGTGCTCTCTGGCAATGCGCCAGAGGTTGTTGACACCTGACGCTACTCCGGTCTTTGCTCACTCCTGCTCTCTCTCTCTCTCTCGCTCTCGCTCTCGCTCTCGCTATTATCCAGGTCGTCACTACTGATGATGGTCTCGAGGCCATTCTCTTCAGCTCGGATGGCGACATGCGCCAGGCCCTGAACAACCTCCAGTCCACACACATCGGCTTCGGGGTTGTGTCCATGGAGAATGTCTTCAAGGTGTGCGATCAGCCGCATCCCCGGCGAATGCAGACGCTCGTGGAGCGGGCCCTGGCTGGCGACCTCGACCAGGCACATGCCGTGATTGAGGGTTTCTGGAGCGATGGCTTCGCCGCGGTCGACATTGTGACCACCCTCTTCCGCGTCATCAAGTACATGCCGCAGGACGCCATTCCGGAGTACACTCGGCTGGAGTACATGCGTGTGCGTGATGCCCTTCCTGCCTCCCCCTTTCTTGGGCCCATTCCAGCCTCTTCCTGGACCCCCCCCCCTGCACGGACAATTTCCCATCGCCGCCTCGCCCTTCCCTCTCTCTTCTCTCCTTATTCATCTCCTCCCCGCATGTTCTTCCCTGCTTCTCCCCCGCCGTGCCCCACTTGCTCCGGTTCTCGCTGGTGCAACCCGCAGGAGATCGGCCTCACCCATGCCAATATCGTCGAGGGAGTGGCCACCCTGCTGCAGCTCAGTGGCCTGGTGGCCCGGCTCTGTAAGATTGGCATGCAGGGATGAATACCAACTGCCAATGCTCTCCCATAGGCTCAGCCCCCGCCGCTCGGGCCTCCCGTGGAGAAAATCAACGAATGTCCTTGTTCTCGCGCCTCGGGGTAGTCCTTGTTCGTGTGGCGATTTCTTTTCCAGGGCCAGACCGGCGCGGAGAGAGGGGGGGGGGGGCGCTGCGGCGCGGAATCGACGCCGGCGGGCGGCACATTCCTCGCCCTCCCGGGGAGGAGGGGGGGGGGGGAGCGAGAGCGGGGGTGACGCGTGGACCTGGCTGCGTGGGCTGCACTGGCCCCCGCGGGGGGAGGGGGCGGGGGGGCGACTCAGGATGTGTATCCGGACGGTGGTGCCGCGCTGGTCACTCCCTTTGCGTGTTTGTTATTGTTAGCGGCCCCGAAAGTCACGTCCCTTTCCCCTCCCACCCCGGTGTCAATCCTAAATCCCGACAGAAGCCGGACCTCGCGTGAGCGTGCGTCCGCCCGGGTCACAGCCTGCCCTGCGCCCCGCCCCCCCCCCTCCCCCCCCCCCCCCACGCAGGCCCACGTTCGCTCTCAGCGGGGGGACGAGGAAGGGGGGCAACAGAATCGACCGCCAGCCAGCGAGAGGCGGAGGACCGTTACCTTTCCCTTCCCCACAGGAACCGGGGCGCATGCCAATGGAGCAGTAGGATCGCGCGCACGCGCGGGGCATCGTCGCCAAGGGGCGCGGGGGGCGCGCCGGAGGGGCGGGTGCATTGTTTTGACCCGGGCTTTCCCAGGCCACCGGGGCCAATTGTCCCGCCTTCCCGGGCGATCCCGGGCGCGCTCCGGATTGATGCCTCCCCCCCCCCCCCGCCGCCCCTGCTGACAGTGTACCTTGCACGGGCGCTCCGTTGTTTCAACACCGCCGACAACCTCACTGAGACATCTGTGCCCCGGGCCCGTGCTCTGTCAAATGCCCCCACCCTCGCATGGGCCGGCACCTCCCCGCCGGCCTGGTCTGCCCTCCCTCTACCCGCCACAGATCGCCCCCTCTCCGATGCCCTTTCGCCTGACGGACTGCATTCGCCAGCACTTGTCAACTGCGCCCCCCCCCCCCTCCCTCCCTCCCCCCCGTGCCGCTCTCCCCGCTGCCCCTGCCTCCTTGCCGACCCTCCTGCACTTGGTCTATTTAATGGTCTGGAGATCGTGCTGCCATGGGCCAGTATAACATGGTTGCCGACGAGTCCCAGCTTAGCGGACATCCCCCTCCTGCAGATGACTTCCAAACATCGGGATTCACTTTCGCCGACCCCAATGACCCGATCATGCACAATCCCTCGATCCAGGTGCGCACCCGCCCGGCCCTCCAACGGCTCGCCGCCCATCACCCCCAGCCTTGCTCACGCTCTTCCCCCTCGGGCCTCGGCCGGGCGCCTCTTCAGACCGGGTTCACTGATGACGGCTCGGTGCTGCCTGTGAACCCCGGCGATGACCCGATCTTCTCCACACGCGTCTTCGAGCTGGCCAATGCCGAAGACGAGGAGAAGGCCAGCGAGCTGGACCCGCGGGTTCTGCTGGCCGGCCTCATCTCCAACTGGCCATACTTCCTGGTCCTGGGTTCGTGTCCCCTTGGGTCGATGCATTTGCTGTCTCTACCCTTGCGCCCCAGGGCTAACTCCCCTCCCTCCTGCGGCTTGCCATTGCCGTCCTCATGCCACCAGGCATCATCCTGTTTGGCCTTGCCCTCCTTGGCATTTTCGCCTGGGAGCCCATGGGCTGGCAGGCGTGGTTCAGTCTCTGCGTACGCCGCGTATTTCCCTCTCGAGCCGCTCTTACAAGGGTCCTGGAATTAACCGGCGTCCTTTCCTTCCGGCACCTCACGCTCCCCGCCCCTAGACGATTGCCGTGGTGCTGGTGGCCCTCTTCCGAGAGCTCTACCCCCCGCACATTACCATGATGTTCTCGACGGCCCTTTTGATTGTCACCCAAATCCTGACCCCGGAGCAGGCCTTCTCCGGCTTCAGCAGTGATGGTGTCCTGGCCATTGGTTTCATTTTCGTTGTCGCCCGCGTACGTCCATCGGCGCGCATGTGCCCGCATGCGCCCGCATGCTGTTTGCTGGTGCATGACGCCATATTGACCCCCCGCCCCCGCCCCCGCCCCCGGCCCCTGGCGCGGCCTCTCCCAGGCCCTGGAGATCAACGGCTCTGTGGACTCGGCCATGAAGTACATTCTTGGACACCCGAAGCACCTGTGGGTGGCCCTGGCCCGTGTGTGCTTCCCGATCGCCTTCTTCTCGGCCTTCATGAGCAACACCGCCCTGATGGCCATGAGCCTGCCCATCATGATGGAGTGGTCCCGGAAGATCGGCCAGCCGGTCAGCAAGCTCCTGATGCCGGTTAACCTGTCCATCATCCTCGGCGGCATGTGCACCATCATCGGGACCAGCACCAACATCATTGTGGCCGACCTCGTCCGGGAGAAGGAGCCCGACACGGACCTTGGCTTCTTCACCATCGGCTATATTGCCATCCCCAATGCCATCCTGTGTCTTTTGTTTGTCATCTTCACCTCCTCCTGGCTCCTGCCGGATGCTCAAAGCTCCTCGGGTCCCTTCAAGAAGCGCAACCGTGCCTTTGTCACCGCCATGCGCATCCCCCCGGGTAGCCCCTGCCATGGGAAGACCGTGACCGAAATCGGCCTCGACGGTCTGAATGGCGTGACGCTCATCTCGATTGAGCGCCCGGTCGAGGGCGATGGCACTCAGCTCGCCATCGAGGAGGACTCGCTCTTCGGCGGTGCGGAGGCTCGCTCACGCTCCTCGTCGGGATCCAAGTTTTCGGTCCTGGCTGCCGGCAGCCCGGGGCTGATGCTTGCCTCGACCTCGCGTCCTGGCTCTCGTGCGCCCTCGCGCTCGGCTTCCTTTGTCAACAGCCCATACACGGCCCCCGGCACTGGGTCCTCCTCTGGGGCTCGGCACCCGATGACCGGCGCTTCCGCATACCCCGTGGAGGGCCTAACCACCGAGGAGCTGACCGCGGCCTACTACGCCGCGGCTGATGCCCCCCCGACCGCGGACACCCGGGCCCGGCACCGGGTTCTCTACATGGCGGCCGATGCCTCGGCCCGGGCACAGACCATCTGCGAGAAGCTCCGTCTTCCGGCCACTCCCGGCGGCCTGACCCTGCAGGAGGGGGATATCCTTCTGTATGCCGGCCTCGAGAATGACATTGTCCACCTCCTTCGGTCGGATTACGGTATGGAGCCGGCCGCCGTGCCGCACCTCCAGCGTGTGTCCGGGCGCCTGCGCAAGCGCGTCCTCGCCGAGGTGGTCATCGCCCATGACTCGCCGCTTGCCGGGCGGTCTCTTCGCCAGGCACGCTTCCGGTCCAACTACAATGCCGCCGTGCTGGCCATCCACCGTCGTGGAGGGCTTGGCACCCTGTCTGCGCTGTCCTGGTCATCGGCCGGGCTGCTGGGTCCTGACGGGGGTCGCCTGCCGACGGATGTGTTGGCCTCTGGCGGCATGGGCCCCTCCGCCGAGCGTGCCGCCTTCTCCGAGAGTGATCGGCTCCTTGCCCCGGAGAATGACACCGGGGTGTATGGCGCCTCGGCCACGGTTGCTCCCTTCCTGGACCCCGAGACCGGCCTCAGCTCGCAGTCCAGTGTTTCCCTGCTGGACACCCCCCTGCGCCCGGGGGATGCCCTGATCATTGAGACGACCACGCACTTCCTGGACTACCACCGCCATGATCATGACTTTGCTCTGGTGAATGTGGTCCAGTCGGTGCCGTCGGTTTTCAAGCGCCCAGCTCAGTGGAAGCGCGTGGCCACCCTGTTGGTGACATTGCTCATGATTGCCGTCAATGTGGCCGGTGTTTTGTCCCTGTCGACGGCGTGTCTCTGCGCGGCCAGCATCCTTCTTGCGCTTGGGTGCATCAAGCCGGCCGAGGCGGCCCGGTCGGTTGGCGGCGAGCTGCTTGTGCTCATTGCCTGCTCCTTCCCTCTGGGCAAGGCTCTGGAGGTGACTGGCGCGGCCAATGTCATCAGCGAGTCCCTGTTGGGCGTGCTCATGCCTCTGGGCTCGATCGGTATCATTTCCGGGTGTGTCGCCTCCGGTGTCTGCTTTTGCTCCCCCCCCCCC